GGCTGGCTCAGCCCTCCCTCCCCCCGCTTCACGACAGGTAGCTCATGCTCCTGCCAACCCCAATGCCTGCCTTCGGCTTCCTGCCCCCCAGGGGTCCCCAGATCCCTGATTAACCCCCTCGCTAATTGGCCACCAGCCCCTTGACTTTGCTGCAGGCCTTCTCAGGAGCTGGGAGCAAATGGCTGCAAATTGGCCAAGCAGGATGGGTCTGGGGAATAGTGTGCGCGTGGGGGTGAGGGTGGGAGTGCTGCAAGCCCAGTTGGTGCCTGGCTGGAGCCAGGCAGGGCACCCCTTATGCCAGGGCTGGGTGCAACACTGGCATCCAACTCTTTTGGGAGGGCACTCCCATGATTCATGTGTACACAGTCACGTGAAGCCATCCCTGCGTGCACATTTACACACACTCACCAGTGGTGTGTGTAGACATGTTCTGCCCCACTCTGTACACCAATGCATGTCAACATTTGCACATATACTCATGAACATACCAAGGATGCATGCAAGCAAAATTTTACATGTACATAAAGTCACCTGCCATGCATGCAGACACCATTTATATACACACATCCAAACATATACAAATATGCCTCAACTAAACACAAAAATGCAGTTATGTGTATATGAGCTTGCAAACACAGAAACTTACATGCTATACATGCCTATGAATATCCTAAGTGCACATGTAGGCATGCACCAACATGCATCCACATGTGAGTGTACACACATGGAGTCCCGACATACATGCGTGTGCGTATAATCCTTGATGAACAAGCAACCAAGTGGCCACAGGCTGGGAAGAACCCTCTTTCCTTAGTCTGCCTCTGGCTTTACATAAAAGGAAGCTCGAGGTTTGTTCAGTCTACTGGTGGGGGTAGGAAGCAGTGCAACCCACCCAACTTCCAAGTTGCCTTTTCCCAGCCTCCATGCTAAACGCCTAAGCCTGGGATCTCCTCTGGTTTCCACTCTTCAAGCCTTCAGGCATCCACAGGGACCCTGTCAGGGCTCCCAGACAAAAGGGCAGAGCCTCTGGCTTTTAGCCTTTGCAGTTCCAGTCCTCTTGGCTAGGGCCCAAGCCCACAGGTGCTCCGCTCTCTTGTAGGCACACTGAGGCATTGGAAGCTAGAGGGTTTCTATTTCTATGTCTGCTGCCAGCCCGCTGTGTGACTTTGGGCAAGTTGCCGTGCCTCTCTGTGCCTTGTTTCCTCATCTGTAAAATAGGAATAAAAGGTTTTGTGCTGATAATCCTTCCAAGACTGTCCTGAGGAGTACATGGGTTCATGATTACGGTTCATGCTTTACTCAGGCACACACGTCTGGGAGCAGTGTCAGTGCCCAAATGGTTGGACGCCAGAGTGGAGGGGCCGGATACAGCATCACGGGCAACTCTTTATTGAATGGGCAAGGAGGCTGAGGCCCAGAGAGGCGGCACCAAGGTAGGAGCTAGAAGACCCAATCTCTGACTTCTCAGCCGGGAGCCTGCTCCTCTTTCATGGTGTGTGCAGAGTGTGCGCTCACGTGGACACTGTGGACACGCACACACACACGGTTCCTTGGGCAAGGGCAGGGAGGGCATCTACACAGGACCCTTTGCCCCAAATATTACCTGCCCTCCTGCCACCAAGTGACGATTCTACCATGAAAGATTCCTTTGGATGTTAAAGGCTTTTTTTATGTCCTCAATCATCAAGAGTGCCCCCTAGGCGCTCACACCTCCTGAGGCTGAGGGGCAGTCCAGGGGGGTCACCTGAAACTGCTCCCAGCTTTGTGATCTAGGAGGGAACTAGCTGACAACCATCCCAGAGAACTTCCAGGAAATGGTGCCAGGTTGCCCTGGCCACTAGGCAGCCAGGAGGGGGCAGTGAGGAACTGGCAGAGGCAGTGAGTAGGGAGGGTGGCTCCTGAGGACTTCGTGTGAGGTTTGCTGGGATTGTGTGGGTTCCTGCAATGGTATGTGCTGATGTGCGTCCTTGTGCAAACAAGGCCACTGGTCTGTGCACAATGTGCGCATGCCTCCCTGGGCCCGGGTTCTCATGTGTGCCCACTTACACATGTCTCCTTGCATGTATACACATCTGAGTACACATACGTGTGTGTAAGTGTGTGTCTGTGTGAAGCTTCCGCCCATACCTAGGGAACTCATTTTGTTCCCGGGCAGCTGTGCAGGGTACTTCCTGCTTTAAGGGTCTAGGGTAGCTGGGCCCTCAGTTGTGCTCGCTTGATTTCAAAGCAAAGCAAAAATAACCATAACCTGTTACTGCACCTGTAAAACTGGACACCAGGGGGAGGGGGAGATAAGAATCGAAACCTTTAACATGCTCCCTACAACACTAAAGACTGATTCTAGATGGAGAGATTCTTAAGCCGTGTAAATTGTGCGGTGGACAGAGCATGGGCTCTGGCTTGAGCCCTGTGTTTGAGCCACGGCTGTTTCTGGCCAGCTATGTGATCTTAGGCAACTCCCTTCACCGCTGTGAACCTGTTTTTCTCATATGTAAAATAGGGGACCCCTGCTTCTCAAGATTGGAATAAAACATATGCAGTCGTTGGCAGGTAGTGGGCGCTCGATAAATGCTCATTCCTCTCAGATCAGCCCAAAGAGGTGAAGCGACTCGCGCAGGGTCACAGCTCCCGAGTGGCGAGCCAGTATTCAAGCTCAGGCCTCTTGCTTCCCAGAACCACATTCCTTCCCTCCAATTCCCTAGCAAGGGCGGCTCCCGACACCACCATTTTGTCTTCTGCCAGGGCGGGTGTCTGGCTGCCTGTCAGTCAGGCCTCGGGAAGCCAAGTGCTGACTAAACACAGGCCCGAGCAGGCGGGTGGAGTGGAGGGCTCCGCAGGGGCGAGCCGGCTCCGCAGCCCCCTCCCCTGCACCCCCACCTCCAGTGATGAGCTCAGAGCGGCTGGCGCAGCAGTTGCTGACAATTCAAAACTTCTGCCCCCTCTCCTGGGACGCCAGTGGGTGACTCTCTTTCTGAACAGCAGGCGTGACCCGCAGAGTCACCAACCCTGCTCCTGCCCCTCTCCCCGGGGCCACCCCACTGCGTCTGCTGGGCCCGGAACCGAGTGTCTGCTCATAAATTACCCCCAGGGACAGTTACCCGCAGCAGCTGTGCTCGGAACAACCGTTGCTTCCTGGGTAGGTCATTTTTTTGGGTCAAAATATAAACCCAGCCCCCTTTCCTTCCCCAGGCAGGAGAGGGGGCGTGCAGCAGCCTAAACCTTTTATCGGATTCCATTGTAAATCGTTCTATTTAAGGTAAGTTGCTTGGGTCTGACAGGCAGACAAGATGCCGGCCAGATGTTGGGCGGCAGCATCAGCATTCAGCCCGTGCTCCTCTCCTGCCTGACACGGAGTTGCCAGCAGCTGGTCTCTGCAGCACCAGCACAGCCCCTTCCTCACAGTGACGGGGGCTGGGTCTGTAGGTCTCCCAGCGCGGGTCTCCTCCTGAGCCAAAATGGTGTGCAGCCTTCTCCACCTCCCGCACTCGGGGCACCAACCACCCCCGAAAGCCTTCTGCCCTCGGGCCCACCCACCCTGGAGCCCCCTCCCGAGCTCCGGTCACCACCTGTGGCTATCAGTGTTGCCCCTTCTAATCTCTTCTCCCATTACAGAAACAACACACACACCTGAGGTGACTGAGTGGCTACAGAGACTTTATCAAATTATTGAGAATGTTGGCATTTAAGTATTCATGTGTATACATAAAACAGTTACATGGAAACATCACGTCACTGGGGTACAAATGTTACACGCAAGAGCCTGGCAGGTGAGCAAATGAGGCCAGGCTTGGAGCCACAGGGCTTTAAAAAACTGGATGTCCTCTAAGGGTCTGAGAAAAGGGCAGAAGAGGAAAGGGTCAGTTTAGGGGTTTGGCTTAACCCCACCACTCAGATCTCCTCAGCTCCAACAGAAGAGCCCGTTCCCACCCTCAGGGGTAAGGGGCTTGTTCTCAGACTGTATCGCCACTACATACACACCCACTCCCTAAAATCTTGATGTGGCAAACACACCCAAGAACCCACTGGAAAATGTCGTTATAAATATATTTATATTAGAGAAGACAAGGCACTTTGGGAACACTACGGCTTACTCTCCTACATGCACATCATTCTAGACAGAATGTAAAAACTGGTTAGTTTCTCAAGTGAATTAACAGATTAAAGTTAATACAATAACAAAAATTGTTCCCTAGCCCTCACTGAGGCACTATTAAAGTGAACGTGGCAGGAGGCACAGAACGAGGCACATCTCTGTGCAACACCTGGTCCCAGGTTGGCTGGACCCCGGCAGAGCTCAAAGCCTGACGTCCCCAGGAAGCCTGACATCTCGTGAGCAAAGCCCCTGGTGTTGCAGCACTGCCTTCCCCCCCAGGCCCTGAGGTCAGGTGAGGGCTGCAGCGGGAGGCAGTCCTAGAGCAGAGCTAGGACACGGTGGGAATGCTTAAGCAGGGTCACCAAAGCCACAGAGACCTCAATCTGTCCAAGCTGGCGCTGCAGAGTCGGAGGATCGGCGCCACGGGAAGAGATTTCACATTAACCCTGACAATACCGCCTTGGCTCTGCGGTGACATTGGCCAGGGTCATTTCTGAGGGCGCTCCAGCTTCCACTGGTGGAGCTAGAGCTTGGGCGGCTGCTCTGAGCCTCCGAGGGCTCGCTGATCCTCCCCCCACCCCCACCCCCCCACTTTCGGAATGTACCCATCTCAGGACCAAGGCAAAGCCACAAGTCACTTCTGACACTGCCGACTGGAAGCTGGGCCCCTGGGCCACAGGAATGGGGGCAGGTCCCCTGGGCTGGACAAACCAGGAAGGGAGGAAGCTTCTTGGTTTCAGCGCTTCTTAAGAGTTCTTATGGGCCATTGTTCCAATACTCTTACCAGCCTCAGCCCAGTTTAAATAATCACTAAACTTTGCATTCTACAATTACAGGATTTCAGAACACATGATTACCTGCATTGGGTCCTTTATCATCTTAAAGGGCTCTAGGTTTAAGGAAGCAATTTTTTTTTTGGTGCACATATGCATAAGTAGAGCCCAGAGGGCCTCTCGGCTGACTGGGTCCCCAGCCCCCAGAGCTGAGGAGGCTTCGCAAGGCCGGCTGCTACAAAGCGCCGAGCTTGGCTGCATAGATTTTAATGAGAGCGTCAGGCAGAGCTGTGCTGTTGCTCTCCGGGACTTGCAGATCATTACCAAACCAGCTGTAGGATGAGAACACAGCACATCGAAACCCTAGGAGGTCACTGAGCTAATGATCTAATCCTACCTTCCGCAGGCAGTGCTCCTCCCCACCTCCTCCTGCCCCCAGCCCTTTCCACGGTGGACTCTGTCCATTCCAGAAGCCAGGCCAATACCACCCCCTTCAAGGTCAGAGCAGAATGATAGTGAGTGGCTCTGGCTCCCCCTTTTCCGGAAAGGAGGAGGACAGGGGTAATTTAGTCAAAGCCATTAGGCCCAAACCCTGGCCTGGCCAGGCCCCAGGACTCCTATTTGGGAGAACCACTACCCTCTGCCTGCCTCTCCAGCCACTGCTGGGCTGCAGCCCAGGCACCTTCAACGGCCATTTTAGGGTTCTGATGAAAGCACCTACAGTCCTACAGCTTCCAAAGTGTGGGGTGGGAGACAAGGTGGGGGGCCCACACAGCTTGGCGTCTCAGTATGGAGCTAGGTGCCAAGTCCTGTGCCAAAGACACCTGATCTTTGGAGAGAGGGGAGAGGCCACGCTTGGGAGCAGCCGCAGCAGGAAGGCATGCTAGAACCTACAGGCTCAGTCCCCGTGTCCTGAGATCCAGGGAAGAAGGCAGACGGGAAGCATTCAGCAAGGGCACAGAGCAGTACCCATGATTATACACATTCTCCTCAAGCCGGAGGGGTTTACGAGGGCTTTGGCAATTACTACAACCATTTGCTGTGCTGGGTAGAGACAGATCCTGTTTCTCTTTGTTTCAGGGCTCTGAAAGCCGGAGAAGCCAGGAGAAGCCGATTTCAGCATAAGAGGCTACACAATAGTTAGGGCAGAAGAGAAGAAACCTCACTGTTGGCCAGAGCTGACCAGTTTTTTTCTGAATAATAGCACCTGTGTATTAGCTCTGGGAAAAAGGGGGGAGGGACAGAAGGAACATCACCATGTGCAGTGCAGCGTGTGGGGGAAGCTGGAAACAGGACCCGGAGTCCCTCTGCCTTTCAGCCTGCTTCACGGCTGCCAGGCCCCCCCAGGCAGGTACCCACATGGCTGCCAGCCTGAGGGACTAAAGTTTCCACAGTTGGCAGAACCTATGCTTAAATTGGGGAAACAAAAGGGGGAGGAGTTGCAGAGGAATTGAAAACAGCACCTGTCAAAGCTGCTTACCCCCTCCTTCTCTCACTACTTATGGTCTCCCAGAAGGGCAGCTCCCAAGGCCATGTGGTTGGCTGGTGATAGGGAAGGGGCAACAAAGCATTCTGAGAGAGGGGAGGAGGGTCTGAGCAGCACGGACAGGGCTGGCATAGGCCCGAGCCCTCCTACTGGGGCCCCCGCCTATGAAGTCTGGAGTAGCACAGAGCCAAAAAAGCTCTGCCCAGACCCCAGCAGGTGCCCATTATTTGGTCCCAGAAAGCACAGGTGACTTGGAATCAGGAACTCTGGGCTCTAGCTCTGTCACTGTCCAACTGTGTAACCTCGTGCAAGTCACTTCCCATCTCTAGGTCTCGGCATCCTTAAGAGGGCAGGACCCAAGGAATTCCACCATCCTTCCAGGCCTGCATTCCAAGTCTCTAAGCTTTGTTCCTGACAGCCAGCAGAGGCCCCGGGCCCTGTGTGTCAGGGGTAGTTTGGTCGTGGATATTGGAGGTTAAAACGGCTGTGCTGCCTAAAGGCACCTAGAGGTGAGGGAGGGGCATTTCAGGGAGCCATACTCACCATGAGGGAGCCTGAAAGGCAGGCAATTAGCTCAGCCTTCAGAAAGGCAGCATTTCTGGGCAGAGGGGGCGAGACATTCTTTAGAGGCTTTTTGCCTCCTGGAATACAGGGCATCCCAGGCACAGAGATCACTTAGCACAAGGCAGCCCCACCTTGCTGATTAGGGCCTCCGGCCTGCTCTGCCTTTTCAATGCATGGGAAAGGGGCCAGCTGTGTCCATGCAGGCCACTGTTGCTGCTTTAGGACCAGGAGGTGGCTGGCATTATTTGAAGTGGCTGAGGGCAGGGATTTTGGAAGGAGACCACAGCTGAATATGCCTCCTAGCAGAAGGCACCATCTCCAATTGAATCTCAGTCAAAGGGATCTGCTTTGGGGTTTTCCCTTCCTTTCAATACACAACAGTCACTTGAAGGGAAGAGGGAACACCCCGGCTACTGAACCTCTGGAGCCCCACAGGGCCTGACAATGGGAAGAGGAAATACATGTTGATTTGGAGGAAGCACTTGGATATATCTTTGGTTGCTTCAGGGAAGGCTTTGGCCCCTTGAAATTCTTTTTTTCCTCCCTTTTCTCCCCCATGGGACTGTTGGGGTAGGCATCAAAGAAGGCAGGTAGAAAGGAAAGAAAAAGAAGGTGGGCAGCGGCAGAAAGAGTTAATCCGACCAGTCGTCCTCATCAAACTCAGAGGAGTCATCTTCTGAGTCGCTGTACTCAACAGCAATGCGACGTGACAAGATGGTGGCCACATCATTGCCCACGACATCCCGCTTCTCTTGCTCCTGCTGTTCCTCAACCCTGCGCAGCTGAAAGCCTGGTGGCAGAGGGAGAGAAGGGTGAGGAAGGTGTATCCTTAGCCTCAGAATCCATCCAGGCCCGGGTAAGGGGAAGCGGCCCCTGGTGGGGGGTATACTGGAAAGGACAGAGAAAAAGAAGAATCCTCTGAAAGCAACGAGGGAAAAGGGTTGGCAGGAGAAGCAGTAAAGAGGGAGTTTTATGAAACTGGTGGCCCTGGTGCTACAGGTGTGCTTGAAAGGAAGCCTGCTGTCCTCCCTGGCTTACGTGCTCTCAGGCTGGTGAGGACGGTACTTTAGTGGGGAGCGGCCACCACACCCCATCTAGCAGGTCCTCAATCTGTTCAATTCCGTCGATTCTAACGGGGCTCAGCTGCCCTAGATTTTCTCCTCTAGACTAGAAGTTCCTTGAGGATTACAACAAACCACTATAACCCTTTGGGCCCAGACCTGGCCTGAAAGAAAGAGAATAAATGTTCCAGGAGGATGAGATGATGGTGGGGAGGGGGGAGGGGAGAGAAAGGAAAGGAAGGGGAGAAAGAAGGCAGAGGGAGGGAGGATGTGAATGGCAGAGCACTGGAGGAGGCTGGGGATGGCTGAGTCCAGGTGAACAAGGACCTGCTGGGACAGAGATTCTTGTTTTTTTGAGGCACAAGCCCCTTTGAGAACCTGATTAAAAAAATAGGAGTCCTTCCCCAAGAAAAAAATGCATGCAAACACATCTAAAGCATATATTTCCAAGGAGTTCAAGGTTCAGGTTAAGAATCCTTTACTTTAAACCAAGGTGGACAGAAGTCTAAATCTCCATATCTTTAGGGTGAAGGCTTTTTTCAGGCTGCTCTGAGGCCTGAGGTCCCACTCTCTCCCCACCCAATGAAAGCCGTTCCCTGGGAAGGGCACAGAGTTCCTCTCAACCACCCCCTAATCAGTTAGAGCAACTTCAGAAAGACAAGGCTCCATGGTCCCAGACCCACCACCGGGACTTACCTTGACGGATGGCTGAAAGCAGGTCACTACGGGCATCGCTCACAGCAGGCAAGGAGGACTTCGGCTTGGTGGCATCAGAAAGTGGTGGTGGTATGGCAGGCTGGCCATCCACACCACTGAAAGGGAGAGGAGGGGGCCCTGGGGGAGGGGGAGGAGGTGGAGGTGGAGGGGCTCCTCCTGTTGGTTGGGACAAGGGAGGTGGTGGCAGAGTTGGGTAGTCAGCTGCTGGAGGGGGGGGAGGTGGGGGAGGGGCAGCAAAATCAGGGTGAGGTGGAAAAGATGGGGGTGAAGGTGGTGGAGGGGTCCCTGGAGACCCAAATCCTACAGGCGGTGGTGGAGGTGGAACACCCATCATTGGAGGCGGAGGTGGTGGGGCAGGTGGTGGAGCGAACCCAGGTTTGGGGCCTGGCGGAGAGCCCAGAGGAGGCGCTGGTGGGGGGTGGCTTGGGCTGACCACACTGGATCTCTTGGGTCCAGCCAAGCCAGATCCTCTTTGGTTGTCTGCCGGGTAGCTAAAAGGCCAAAGACAGAAGACCCACCGTCACTCTCAGGATGCAAACACTCACCTACAATTAGGCTTATCTATAAGCCTAGGTTCATCTTGGTTGACTACACCACTTTACTTTGGTTCAAACACAAAGGAAGACCTGGGTATAATCAGAACGGACCAAAAATGAAACAGGCAGCCCTTTAAGGTAATTAGCTTCCCACCAGCAGGGAGTATAATCAGAAATTGAGGAAAACTACCTGGAAAGAAGATTCCTTGGGATTCCTCTATCATGTAAGAGCTGACTGAGACATCCCTTAGGTCCCCCTCCAAACTTTCAGCTATCCAGGGGAAGGCACCCTCCTGAACCCTCCTCTAAGAGGAATGGGCCATGGATGGTTCTCAGTTTAATCCTGGAGCCTGGGCTAAGAATGCAGGCAAGAAAGAATTAGAATAAAAATTCAAACTCCATCCACCCACGGTGCTCCGTTTCTCAGGCTATTAACATTCACCAGGTCTGGTGAGGGCAGGAAACCCAAACCAACCTGACCAGACCTGAGTACGATACAGATTTAGGTGAATGCATCTTCAGTGCTCATGTGGGGAAAATGAGAGAGAGAACGGATGTCAGTCTGAGGGTCTGCAGGGATGGGAAGTGAATGTGCCACCAGACTCCTGCCCCAGGTTTGAAAGAGGATTAAGGCTACACCTCTCCTGGGAGCGGATTTGCTTGGCTGCAGCTGCAGGGTCTCAGGCCATGTGTGAGGCTGAAGGTTTTCTTTTCCGCCTTTGTATCTGTCCTGCACTAATAGCTACTCCTTAGGAAGGCATCCATCTTGGAATTTTCCACAGACCTTCAAGCCTTAGCTGCATCTGACAGGGCAACAAGGAAGTGACTGGGGAGGTGGAAAGAGATTTGGGATTAGTGGTTTCAAGGGCCAAGAAGAATGAGGGGAGAAGGGGAGGACATCATTGCTTTAGGTCTCCCTCTGAGGCGTCCTCAACATATTTAGTCTCTAATTAAACAGTGTCCAAGGAGAAAGTTCACCTATCGAAGCTCTCACTTGTCAGGCATCAGAAAGGACAAAAGTAACTGTGAGAAAAGAGTGCAATCCGAACAATCCCCAGACCTCTTTTCAGCCATTACTGGCTAACTCGTCCTCGGTACACGTCTGCCACAGATACTGACAGATATCAAAATGGACAGATGTGAAGTTTCATCCCCCTTTCCCTTTGTTTCATTCTGGAGATTCTATACAGCAGTGAAATGAACCAGTAGCAACAAGAGAGGAAGGTGACTATCTGCTAGGTTCCTAGATAACTGGGCAAGGTGTCTGCTAATTATATCGCGGACAGTAGATTGTACCACTTCATTTCATGCTGAGTTAAAGCTAAGTAAAAAAACAAGAGAGAAGTTGGTGACTTCTACCTGTTCAGGTTTAGGCAGAATAGCAAGTAGTTGAGAATACAAGTCTGGAGTCCAAATGACCAATCATGGCTCTGCCTCTTACTCGCTGCATGATCTTAGGTAAGTTCATTGACCCCTCTGTACCTCATAGTTCACTCATCTATAGCACAGAGATAATAACAGAGGACTCCTCTGGGGACTAAGTAACACACAGTGTTTAGCATAATGCCTTGCAAACACTTGGTAAATATTAATTATTTCCATTATGTAGACAGACTTGCCTGAAGTTATTTTTGTGGTCCTGACCAAGATTTGAATTCTTATGTTGTTCTTGAGTGTATAAACACCAAGAGTGGATGGAAGAGGTACCACCATTTACCTGAATTCTGCTGGTGGGGGAGGCAAGTTGTCCTCAGAGAAGGCAGGAGAAGGTGAAGAAGCGGAGTCTGACTGTGGTGGTGGTGGATAACTGCCTGCATCCACGTTTTCCACAGAGCCGATGCTGCCATTCTGGTACACCAAGGTGGGTGGATACCTGACAGTGAACCCAGTGCCAAAAGCTGTCATTTTGAGAGCCTGAGTGGTAATCTCTTTTCTCCTTAAAACATACTATAAAGATTATAAAAACTATTAGGGCGATATAAAATAAGTAAATTCCCCAAATACTTTCTGTTATACTGAAATTTTATTTTAGGATTAAATATTCTATGGTCAAATATATAGATATTTCTCCTGAACTGTTTATAGTAATGAGATTCAACCTCGATTATTAAAACCATGCTGTTTCTTTCCCAGTGTTGGTCTTGTCAAACCCAGCAGTTAAATTCTCTCCCAAATATTAGGTGCAGCTGTATCTGAATCCCAAAGTCTGTCTTGTGGCAAAGGGTGAAGCCAAGCCCCACAGGCTAGTGAGCTGCAAACACGTGACTGGCACAGACTGATTTTGAGGTCGGCAAGCCTCTGGAGTGCTCGAAGGCCAAGGAGGCATTTGATTGCAAAAATCAAGCCAAGGATGAATGCAGGTTGCTGTGTGGTAGTAAACGTGGCCTCTCTGCCAGGTCTCTTATCAAACAAAATGAGCTGACGATTAAAGTAGGGTGCTAGGGGTTGCCTCACGGAAACCTGTCCCTCAGAGCACGGGGCCTTGGATGAATTTGTTCTGGGTGAATAATAACAAAACTTCAAACCAGAACAAATACACCCAGCAACAAGCACAAGTACACCAGGCATCAGCTAGCAAAATTTGGCCTGCTCTGCTCCACCTCCCTCTTCTTTCCATCATTGTTGGGTTCTGAAGAACTCATCTAAAACACACCCCAGGGAGAACAGAGTTGGAGGGAACTAACTGAATCAAAGGATGCTCTGCTATGGAAAATCCCCAAGGCCTGGAGCCCTGTAGGCTCCGCACATGTCTTTACAAGCTCACCAACAAGCATGTCCAGATAGACTAGCCATGCAGCCTAGCAAACCTCTTCGACAACAGGAAAATGGGAGGCAAATCCTCATCTTCACTATCCCCACTCCACAAAAAAGGACACACATGATAGTTGTTGGCATTCTGAACATGCAAGCTTCTGGCCTCAGAGTCACTGAACCTATGACAAGTGCCTGTCTGAACAGGATGGGACCAGGGAACAAAATGGCCCCTTTTATTGGGAGGTGAAGGTAAGGAAGGTACCCTCAAGGCTGATTTCCCAGTAGAGAGAAAGGTTCATTTTTACTTTCACCATCTTCATCACTCTTTAAAACAAATCTCTTAATCCATGAAGAAGTGTCAGATGTGTCAAGATTTTTAAAAGTCAAGATTTTCATGGTAGAGTTATTCCTAAAAGCAAGAACAACTCAACTCTTTCCTTTTATCATTCCTAGCCACCCGGCATGGGCTGGCATGGTTCTCTGACAGGCAGGATGCAATGTATTTAGAGGAAAAACCAGGGTGACATTCAAGCCAAGCAGTCATGGTGACTTGGCTTTGAATGTCACACAGGTCAGACACTAGGATAAGAATCAAACCAAGCTTTAAAACCATTTTTTCCCCTTTAAACCTCCAGTGTGATTTGGTATTGGGAAATGGGGTCAGACTGACATCTCTTATTTCTCTACAGAGATATACAGCCTCAATACTGGCCAACCAACCTTTCCCACACTGTCTCTGAGGTCTGCATTCAGTCCCTTGGCTAGCCTCTCTCCCAAGACTGACAAAGGCTGCCTGAAAAGTTGCTTTGGTGATGTGCACAACTTCCCTGCCTGGCCTCCCCACTCCTGTGGAATGCCCAGCTCTTAGGCACAACCTTCTCATCAATGCTCTGGAGGCAAAGGGCTCCCAAGACCACTTTTCTTCCCCTTCCAGTCTTTCCTCTGAGGCCTTTAAACACATCAGTGTCTGGCAGAGTAAGGGCACCATGAGCCGTGGCTGGCATGGGCCAGCCATGGGCTTTCTTTTCCAGACGACTCTGGTCACCTCATTTCAATTGCTGAGTCTCCTGATTTATTTAGCAAATTTTAATCACCAGATGAATACATTTTAAAGTAACTGATTACTAATGGTATTGATCTAAGCCACACAGCCACACTTTAGGGGGTGTGAAAGGTGTCATGCCAGAGCAGTCAGACTGTTGTCCCCAGGTCCCCAGCCCCTTCGAAGAATGTTACCGATAGTACAAACGCATCACCTACCCAGAGGGCCCCAGCTTTTCTTTGGACTCCACAAATTCTTGTCCCATCTTCATTTTCTCCCACTCTTCCTTACGGGTCTTGATTTTACGTGGGTTTACATTGCCTCGATTTGGATTATCTTTCTTTTCTTTCTATAATGAAAAGGAAGAGAACATTTGTGAAACATTTTCCAAAGTTCTTCATTAAAATTCTATCCATCTCCATAGATGTAAATCCAAGAGATGATTTGCCGAGACAACATATGATAGCTACAGAATTTACAAAATTACTGGGTTTGGAGTGACCTAGAGGCCATTTAATCCAAACTGCCCCCTGGGTGAAACATTTGCTCAATCCCACACTCAAAACACCTTTAGTGAGGGAAACCCACTACCTCTTTGGGTAACTCAGTCATGTTTTTTTCCCCTTTGAGCTCAGCTTCAGGGAACACTCACATTTTTGAACTGTTCTAATTGCTAGGAAGTTAGTAAACAGCTATTTGTTATTTGCTCTGCCACAAAAGTCAGTCAAGGAAGATGAAAAGTAATGACAGCTGCAGATATCTGGGACAGATATAGGGAAATGGTTAATAAAAAAACCAAACCAAAACAAAAACCAATGAAGAATTTTTCGGCCTGTGCAGCTGCACTAGCCCCCGGCACTCTCTTGGGCCTCCTGGCAGCCATGCTAATGGGATTGTGAGGGTGCACTTGTGGGTCACATACACACCACTAGGAGTCTAAGGGGAGAGGAAAATCTAAAAAACTATGCATATCCCCCCACCCTAGCTGCCCAACCAGAAGGTGTTAAACTGCTCCAGTTGCAAATCGAACACTGCAGAAACTTGTGCTGATCTTTGAGAAATGAGCTGCAAAACTGGCGGGGAAGGTACTAGCCTAGCTTGAGCGTCCAGCAGAGTCAGGTGCAAATTGCAAGAGAAATAAATGGTGAATAAAAAAGTCAATTTCTAAAACTCAGCCTGAATATACTCAATTGTTAATGGCGCTGGGGGGAACAAACACATTTTTGGTGTGATTTATACTTTCATCTTGGTTGTGCTTGGTGTGGACACATTTTTTTTAAGAGTTTCACCTGGTATCCAAGCAAGCAGCCACTCAAAATGATTACTTCACATAAGACGGGCTTCCTTTTTATCCCCCTCCACAACCGTGCCTACTGATGTGTAGAACAGAGGCCCCTTTCCCCTCACCCTATGCTTTCTCTTCTCTTTCATGATATCCTTGGTGTCCTGCAGCATCTTCTCCTTCCAAAGATCAAAGAAGTATGAAGGGTCTGTGTAGAATTTGAGTGCCTCTTTTCCATCGTCCCTGGGATAGAAATGAAGACAAGTAGCTGTCAGTAGACAGATGAGCTCCCAACCAAATCCAATATTCCAAACACCTAGCAGTTAGCAGTTTTTACACTAAGGAATCAAGAAGTCATTTGAATCGATTGCATATTTCCTCTCCTGTACCAGCATTTCAATGCCCCTGAACGGCACCTCTCTGGCTTTTTAAGAACCTCAGTCTTACTTTCAATTCCTAGCAGAGGAATTTGCATGGTCAGGGCAAGAACAGGCTATAGCAGCAGGGATCCTGATTATTTCTAATGATCTGCATGGCCACAGACATCTCCCTGAGGATATCCGGATATCCTGGCACATCAGAGGGGATTTCTGCCACTGGTTTCCTTTCCCCCACCAATTCCCCAGGACCCTCTGGGAAGCATTAGTAGCCTCCCACTCACCTGAAACTTGTGCACACATGTGCAGGTTTGCATGTGTACATGTGTACACACATGAAATGTGTACGTGTACAGCTGTTATTCCTCTGCACACACACATAACCACAGCATTCCACCTTCTAGCTAGCTCAGTATCTGCCCCACCACCACAAGGGGGATGCAGTGAGAATAGAAAGCCACCTGTTTTAGACCACAAGGTTGGTTTTTTTTTTTTTTGAGACAGGGTCTCAGTTGCCCTGGGTACAGTGGTGGCATCATAGCTCACTACAACCTCAAAGCTCAAGTGACCCTCCTGCCTCAGCCTCCTGAGTACTTGGAACTACGACACATGCCACCATGCCTGGCTAATTTTTTCTATTTTTGGTAGAGAATGGGTCTTGCTCTTGCTGATCTCGAACTCCTGACCTCAAGCGATCCACCTGCCTCAGCCTCCCAGAGTGCTACGATTACAGCTGTGAACTACCGTGACTGGCAGGACCACAAGGTTTAATCACCAACACTTACTGGCTGTGACAGGAGTACAGAGTGAGCTACTGAGTGTCTATATAACGGCTATCCGCCAAATTCAATGATCCTGATTCGAATCCTGCACTTTGGCATGGCTAAGCCCCTCTGACACACAGAAAGCATGAGCTTAGGGTGAACGTTTATTTTAACATTATTCTGAACTAAAACAAATTAGAAAGGTAATTCTATTCCCTGTCCCTCCAATCCTATCACAACACACAGAAAGCATTTCCAAATCAAATATTAATGATTTCTATATTAAATCTTGTTCTGAGTTAGATACACCACCACTTGTTTCTGTTAGGCCAGGTCCAGATAATTGAGAGGAGATGCTAATTGTGGGGTTGTATGTTAAAAAGGAAAATATCATTAACTGAAGAATAAAATTCTCTTAATATCATTTGTTTACCCTGTTCTACCACACAAACCCTATATCATACTCCTACAATAGTATCAGGTGTGTGACCCCTTCCTACCCAACAATCCCTCTGCCCAACCTAACTAGACTCAATGATGGAGACTACAGAGTCGAATGTCTGTCCTGCTCTGCTAGCTAGCCCCTTTGAAAGCCAAGGGGCGAATGCAATTTCACAAAGTAACAATGAAGGACAGATGCCATGCACATTCTCTGTAGCTGTGTGAGAAGCTACCAAGCTCCTATTCCAAGATCCCTCAATCAGGCTGGCGTCCTTGAATTTCACAGGGGCGCGTATGCGCACGAACGTGCACACACACACACACTCCCTACCTCGCAGTGTACCCATGTCTGATAGAAGACATCTGCCTCCAGCTATCTGTAATTACTTTTTACCTGTTCCAAACATATTTATGGATGTAAGCAAGATAAACATTCGCTTTCTGCCCCTGTTCAGTGGTTTTTGCAGGATGACAACACTACCAAACCAGTGGCGGAGACAAGCTTTAAGTTGTCCATAAGGCTACCTTCTTTTTCAAGTCCAGCTGTAGCAGGGTAGGTCCTTTCAGAAGAAAATGTCGAAAGGATGTTCTAAACAAAGTGAATGATGCTCATTTGGAAGAACTGCAAATACTCCTTAAGCTTTGGAAAGACCTCTCTGGGTTCAGAGCAGCCAGTCCATGAGGCTGGCCCCAGTAACACGCCCCAACATCTGGTAATCTAGTGGTTTCCAAGTAAGTGGGAGCCTTGCTAGAATGTTGCCCCTGGGATCTATGCTGTAGGACCGCCTTGTAACAAAGTCCTTTTGGTTCTATAATAACTAAATTCCTTGGATGAAATCCAAGATGGACCTGGCTTATACCAAATTAAACTCTGTAGCATGCAATGTTACAGCAAACTTAAAATATATCTTATATTCACTATGAATTTCAGAAACCAAACAATAAGTGACAATTATTTATAGGGTAAACTTTAGCTTGTGCCACAAACAACTCTGGGGTAGGTAGTGAGCTTTTTGATACAATCCTCTGATGTAAACAACTCTTCAGATAAAAAGACAACCCAGTGTTGTTAACCATAAGCTCAAAAAGGAGGAGCTAGCCAGCCATTACCTGTAACGGGTAAGATTGTTGAGAGGGGGAGGAGTATCACAGGTATTATATGTTTCTAAGACAGGCACTGGGAGGGAGTTTCTGTCAAAAAGCTTCTGGTCTTGAATGGTAGAGCTTCTGAAGGCCTTCCGGGTGTTGATTCCTTGTAGTGACACTGAGAGAAGATGGAAGGCGTTAGAAAATGGACGACAGGCTATTTGAGCAAACACTGAGTCACACTAGTCAGAGAGGCCTCAGCTGCTGCATTTCTTGGCTGAGGCTGTCTGCAGCCAGGTTTTTTTTCCCTCCCCCTCTGGGGAAGCCCCACAAGGCTGTCAGCAGCCCAGCCATTTCACGACTGAACAAAATGAGGCAACACAAAGGTTTACTATGTGGCCAGATCTAGCAGGCCTCTCCCTAGGAGGAATGAATCTTCCAAGTACTTTTATGGTAGCAAAATACGATCGAAGGAGGGGAAATCTGAGAACAAGGGAATTGGGGGAATGGGAGAAAGGAAGTGTATGAGGGTGTGGTAGAGCTAAAAAGGTTTCTTTACACCACCCAGGCTTGTGTCATTTCAAAGCAGAATTCCACAGGTCTCTGTGATTTCTCCCCTTACTTTTTACTTTTCACTCAGGGGAAAAAATTCTAAGAAACTGCTCAGCAGAGCCTGCAAATGCTGAGCTCAGCTTTCTTACCCTCTTCTTCCTTGGGATCCAACTGAGTGACTTTAACTTGTAGTCGGTCAACCCTCTTAGCAAGGGAGCTTACCCGAGAGGCAAAGGTATTTGCCTGAGTAAAGAGCTCTCCAAAAATGTCCTCTGCATATTTACCTGGAAAGAGCAAAGAAACCAAGTCACTACTACACAGAAGTAACTTAAATGGTCAGAAAAACTGGCTACTAAAGATCATATTCCCCACCCCAAAAACACACCCACCCACACACACACACAGACCCTAAGATGGTCTGAACTATATGCAGGTGCTTGCTCTTGGAGATAGAGACATACCCTCCCCATCCCTCCATAGCTAGGGCAGTCTGCATATATTCTATAACTCACAGAGCCTTCTTGGCAAACTCTAAACAATCATGAACTTCAAAACAGGCTAAATAAATAAATCAAAAGGGGTAATGCAAAAAATTAATCCTGGAAGAGTAGACAATAAGTCTACACATTTGCCTATATCCCTTAGCCTCTTGCTGTTCTGTAAAAGCACCTTGTAAAATGGTTCTGGAAAACAGATTGGGAGTTAAGAGGACCTTCTAGGTATCTATAATTAACATGAAAAATAAGAAATTACTTCTTCAATGGAGCCTCAAAAGTACACTGAACAACCAAGATGAGTTGTAGTATCTTTGAGGGGCCTTGAACTTATCAACAACCCACAGCAGAGACACATAACTTTTTCTAAGGGTAAAAAGGTTAACTTACGTTTTATAACCTATGACTTTCTAAGTCTTTGCTCTAGGTTATAATCCTTCAAATCTACATCTTAGGAAACAAAAGCTGAAACTTCCAAGCCTTCCCTGAAAAACAACGCACCAGTGGTCTCTTTCCACAATGTCTTGTTTTTTAGAAAAAAAAAAAAGAAAGAAAAAAGTTCTGTACTTTCAACCCTGGAATGCAAGGAGAATTTGCAGCCAAAGAAACATAACAGCAATTTGACACTACCTCCATATTGTCATTCCAAGCCACAGGGCACATTCTTACTAGGAATGAAAAGTGGTACGTATGAATAAAAATACCATCTGAGTTTCCTACTTGCAAGGTGAAGGCAGGCATAAGCGACTGTGCCCAATTAAAAGATAATTTTTTAAAGGAACTATTTAAAATAGGCTCTAATTTTTAGCTTCTAAACTACATTTATGCTTGGTCCATATCTGAGGGAAAAAAATTAGTCTGAAAGGCCAAAACTGCACCTTCAGGGTGAACTGCAGCTCACCTTCCCAATATAACCTGGAGAGTAAGGAGAAGACCAATCAACTGTGGATTTTGAATTGCTGGTAAATTTAAGTCAATAAGGAGTTTCTAATCAAGGAAGGAGCAAGTCCTTGCATACTGAATGGTTTTGTAATCTAAACAACTATGGGAAGCTCCTGAGCTCAAAGGACTCAAATCAGCTAATGAGCTGCATTCCTACTCTGCAGGTTGGGGATCCTATTTGATTCTTGTCTACAATATGGCTAAGGTCCTCTAAAAACTTATGTATCATGGTCATCTAGGTAATGGAAAATTGTGTTTCGAAGGCTAAAGCAGAGAAATATGCAACATTTGTGTGGAAAATAAACCAAGCTCAAAAATATCTGTTAACCACCCAGCTGCTCTAGAGGAAAAGAAAATTCCAAATCAACTTACCCTTAGGTCACCAAAAGAGTACCCAGAATTTCCTGCTCCATAGCAAAGGGGGCAGTGACAGTGGCAGTACCGGTAACAATGAGATCTCTATTTTAAAGAGGAAGCGAGGTGGCCGGGTGCGGTGGCTCACGCCTGTAATCCTAGCACTCGGGGAGGCCGAGGCAGGTGGATCGCTCAAGGTCAGGAGTTCGAGACCAGCCTGAGCAAGAGTGAGACCCTGTCTCTACTAAAAAAAAAAAAATAGAAAGAAATTATCTGGACAACTAAAAATATATATATAAAAAAAATTAGCTGGGCATGGTGGCGCATGCCTGTAGTCCCAGCTACTTGGGAGGCTGAGGCAGGAGGATGGCTTGAACCCAGGAGTTTGAGGTTGCTGTGAGCTAGGCTGATGCCACAGCACTCTAGCCAGGGCAACAGAGCCAGACTCTGTCTCAAAAAAAAAAAAAAAAAAAAAAGAGGAAGCGAGGTGGTACGAAGGCTTCCCCTGGTCACACCACCTCAGGCCCTAGGCAGACCTAGAGCTACACAGAAGGAGCAGTGAACTTCAAATCAGAAAATCTAGATTTAAGTCTCAGCTCTTTCTTTTTATACCTGTCTACTCTGCAGTGAGTCACAATTTCTCAGCTTAGTTTCCTCATCTATAAAACGGGGATAACTATATCTACCTTACCAAGTTACCTACCATAAGGATTAAATGAACTAAAAATATAAGTTGTTACAATGAGATTTTTCCTTATATTGCTCAACATTAGATGACTTTTAAGAGTGTGAATATCTAAATACTCTAAGTTTTAAGCTTAGAGGAAAAATTTAAATATCATTACAATCAGTTATTTGATAGTCCCTATTCTTCAAGTGCTAAAAATTACTCCAACCTCTGAAAACAGAAGTGTGATACTTACATGGAAGACAACCAAAACACCTTGTTCAGAGTTAAATTTCGCTCATTCAGATTACCAAGGCAGACCTAATACCCGTCAGGACATTCACAATAGATATCACATTTTGCAAAATATTCCAGAAGCAGCCTCCCTTAGCAGAACTCTTCAAATGAAATGTTATGTGGAAGCAGAACAGGTAAAACTGATTTTTAAAAATGTGAAGCTGTTCTTGTTGAAGTCTGAGTGGGAGTCTTGGAGCCCCCCAATGGCATGCCCCGCCCCCTCACTCCCACTACGGTCAGTTAGAAACTCAGTTATCATAGCATGATCTCCTAATGACCCAAGTGGGAGTTCCATTCTCCTAGGTGGCCACAATACTGATCAAAAGTGCTGGCTGGCTGGTTGTGCCTGTATTTCCTAAGATATGGCAACCTAATACGTGAAATGCCAATCTCACTGTACTGAGGGAAAATAAGAATTCTGGATGTGCTGTCACAGAGCGATCCATGGCTGTAGAATTTTTAGTTTTTTACGCTTTATCCGTTCAGTAATCAGACTTTCACTACTAGGCTGAGCAGTTCTGCCTAGAGTACAACGTACATGAGGCCAAGGTCATGAGCCTGAAGCACATATAATACGCCCTTCCCTGAGCCCCTTTCTGCTAGATGAAATCCTAGTCATCTTTCAAGGCCTGGTTCAAATGTAACCTCTTCTATAAAGCTTTCCTTGACCTTCCCTATCCCCACCTGTGCCCCTACTCCCTACAGAAAGTGTTCCTTCCTCCCCTATAGTCTCTGCACTAACAGCATGGAATGGTGGAGAATGAATCATTCAACAAACATTTACTGAGCTTCTACTGGGTGACAGGTACTATATAAGGTAGGCGCTGGGGTTCAAGGACAAACAACACACGATTTCTGCCTTCAAAGAATTTTTAATTTAGTAAAAGAGACATAGGTAATTTGCAATATAATGTGATAAGTAATAATATAGGCATGTAACGGGAGCTCAGAGGAGCACTTAGCCCAATCTGGAAGAAGAGATCCCCGAGCCGGGCCTTGAAAGATCAGCTACAGCCGGCCAGGCAGACAAGGATGGCAAGGGCTGTCCAGCCAGGGGGGACAGAAGAGTACTGCATGGAAGTGTGAAAGAGCACTGTCTGTCTCAGGAGAACTACTAGTGGGTGATAATTCATTCTTTCTTCCCTTCCTTTTTTCCCTTTTCCATTTTAAAAGAATCTTTTAAAAAGACTGTAAAACAAGAGAAGACAGATTGCAGAAAATGAGGCTGGAATGCAAGGCAGGTCTTAGAGAGCTAGGCCAAAGACCTTAGACAATTCCACAGTGAAGAACAGGGAAGAGAAATAGTTAAGATTTACACTTTTACTGTAAAAATACTTGTTAAACTATAAGATTTAAAAACTCAAAAATTCATAATTATAAAAGTAAACCGTGAGATCTGTTGTTCAGGCAGATCACTCTGGGAGGAGTATAGCGGATAAACCTAAGGGGGCTGGATCAGACAAAGGAGGCCAGGGGGAGGCTTGGACAAAATAGTTCAGGTGAAAGTTTTGTTGTTTTTTCTTTTTTCCCCTCAAAAGATGGGGTCTCACTCTGTCGCCCAGGCTAGAGTGCAGTGGCATGATCATAGCTCACTGCAGCCTCAAACTCCTGGGCTCAAGCGATCCTCCCACCTCAGCCTCCCAAGTAGCTGGCACAACGGGCTCACAAGCCATGGTGCTCAGCAGTTTTGGCGAAAATTAATGAAGGTCTGAACCAAGGCACTAATGGCAGAAACAGAAAGTAAGGGACAGAGCTGAGAAATTCTTAAGAAGTCTCAGTTTAAACACTGGCTGTATCTCTTTAGGCAAGTTACCTTACTTTTCTGAGCCTTCACTTCTTCAGCTGAAGAATGGGAATACCACCACCTACCCTCATAGGATTATTGAAAAAGATAAAAAGCAATAATATATGCCAAGCTCCTATCAAAACCTGGCATAAAGTAGGCAATCAACAAATGTGACTACCCTTCTTACTCTCTCCCCATTCTCCCCTTAACAATTATTTATTTCTGTCTTCCTTGGTAGATTATGAGCTCCTGGAAGGCAGAGACCATTTCTTATCACCACTGTATCCCCTCAGTATCTGGCATACAAAATATGTTTAATACATTTTTATTGGATGGATAAAGGGTCAGTTAGCCCCACAATGTAAGGAAATCTTGTTTCCTTAGGCACAAACCGACCCTGGCCCTCAGACTGGCTTCCTCAAGGAGTGGTCTGATCACAAGTGCCAGAGTGAGCAATGGCATCCATCAACACCACCCTGGAAAAACACCTGTGAGAGAGTGCAACTTCTGCTGAGTGAGAATAAGAAGCATCATTAGCTAGATGGTCCTTGTCCTATGGAGAAGGAACAGTGTGTGATTGACTTCCACCCATTTGGCCTTCTCAGGGAGACAGAAGCAGAAATAATGCTTTTAAGAAGCAGTGAGGCTCTCTGCAGCCTTCATATGCTTGCTTGTCAGCTGTACTGCTATTGCGCTACTGTCAACGTTCCTTTGTATAAGACAGGCACTGGCAGGGTTTCATTTCTTTGCAATGCCCCATCCAGGTTTTCCTAAGCCCTGGATCAACCGAGATGGTCCCTGAGCTAGGTGAAGGCTTAGGAATCTCAGACTCCATACATCACCTGGTCACAGAGCTCTGTCTCCTCAGGATCCTATTTTAAAGGCTGGGCCTATTACTATCTGGGGGAATGCAGGCTTTCTTGATATTCCATTGCCTTCACTAAGGGCAGTGATGCGACAGGAGGGGCAAGTGTCTGAAATAATTCACACCAAGATGCCTTTGCTAAGAAGATCACTAAAATGGCATTTTGACGGAGGTTCTTAGGGGAGCTGGAGTGGCACTAGACAAATGCAGAGCCAATCCAAGCATCTGCCCTTCCCATACCTCAGCTTCAAGCAAACAAAGTCAGCTTGATTCAGAATGAAATCCAAACCACATGCATGTACCCCACCCAAGGCAGTCTCATTCATTCTTGCCAATTAAAAAAATATATATAGTCGAGCTGGCTTTCTCTCAGCTCCAAAACAGACTGGGCTAACCCCCACCTTCCTCCTAGAGAAGAATGGCTCCAGCTACTATTTGTGTCACTGTGTGTTCACACAGCTTGCAAAACTCCTAATACCCCAGAGACTGCAGAAGTAATTTGTACTCTGAACTTGGACCTGGGGGCTTGCAGCACAATTAAATGTGTACCAGGGTGGACAAGTCAGCCAGAATCTCTCTGAGTGCATGTTTGCTTTACTCCTCTTTGGGAAGAAAAGGGTTGGGGGGGCCTTGGGTAGATAAAGACTACTGGCACATTTGAGGCTTCAAGAAAGTCAAGCTACATCGAACAGCTCATGTAATTACAGGCACATTCCCCAACCCAAGATACTGCTCTGTGAACCTCCCACTTTACAGAGAGAATTTTGCTCTGTCATTCCATCTGCAGTTTTTGCTGCAGCCCTTCCTGCCACCCTTCCCACAGATTTCTTTTGAAGCAGGTGGAGGGGGAGGGGGAGGGAACCTAGAGGGTGGTGGCAGATAAAGAAGGTTGAGGGGAAGAATCTACACCAAAAAGGAGCCTCTCTTTGGGGAGGGATACATTTTTGCATTACCTAGGGAAGGCAGATGGGGGAGAAACAGGAACACGGAGGAAAAGGAAACTAAATAAAGAGCACTAACGACCCCTGAGGGCAAAGCACAGGCTCTCGGAGGCACTCACTCAGGCTGCCCAGCTGTCGGATGACATTTGCCAGGGAGATGTTGGTCACGCATTCCAGCTCGCTTCTAACACTAGGCAACGTCTGACGGCACAGGTGCCTTGGCTCGATGTTCCTCGTTACTAACGGCATGGTGGACCTGCTTCAGGCAATGTTCTGAATGATGAAAAACAACCTAAAAAAGAAATAACAGGAAAGTATTACTCAACCACAAATTCCAGGCACACTAGGGCTGTGTGAGTCTTTTTTTTTTTTTTTTTTGAGTCTTGCTCTGATCTAAAAAACAGTTTTTAAAAAATCTTCACTCCTCTTATCTTTTTTTTTTCATTTTTAAGTCCTCCCCCCACCCTTCTTAAGGTTTGTTATTAGAAGACTTGCTATATAAGTTTAGAAATTCTGAATTGGCAACTGCTGGCTGAGGTACACAGGCAGCAAAAAACTCTTAAAGTGACAACTACTGCTCCAACCAAGAGTCCCCAGAGGCAAAAAGGCATGGTTAGAACACAGCCTACTCAGCAGGCATTAGATAGTATAGATCCTATCCTTGGGGTGTCCGTTACCAGGACAGATCATCTTCTAGGCCATCAATTATAAGGATCAAAAAAGAGCTTCTGTCATCTAATAATCTCCACAATGAAATCAAGATGCCAATAGTGACTTCACTGATCTAAATCAGGACATAACTTTGCCAGTTCTTCCTTGGTGGATGATTGTTAATGTATAACTAAATACTAATGCCACTATCTACTAAGGTTAGTCTGTAAATTGACAGAATAAAAGAATATAAAGAAAAATTTTGGCCGGGCGCAGTGGCTCACGCCTGTAATCCTAGCACCCTGGGAGGCTGAGGTGGGTGGATCGTTTCAGCTCAGGAGTTCGAGACCAGCCTGAGCAAGAGCGAGACCCCGTCTCTACTAAAAATAGAAAGAAATTACTTGGACAGCTAAAAATATATAGAAAAAATTAGCCGGGCATGGTGGGGCATGCCTGTAGTCCCAGCTACTTGGGAGGCTGAGGCAGTAGGATTGCTTGAGCCCAGGAGTTTGAGGTTGCTGTGAGCTAGGCTGATGCCACGGCACTCTAGCCCGGGCAACGGAGTGAGACTGTCTCAAAAAAAAGAAAAATTTTATGTGTTCAATATGTCAAAACACGCTGAGTAAACTGTGCTATAGGATTCTTCCGTCCTTTCTCTTCTACCACCCATCTCCCTTTCTATCTCCCATCTGGTTCAATACACCTGAGCTAAAAGGCTCTAGAGACAGCAGGAAGTGTCTGGAGCAGATCCGGAAACGTTCCAGATAATGTTGTGGTTTTTTTTTTTTTTTTTTTTTTTTGAGACAGAGTCTTACTCTGTCACCCGGGGGTAGAGTGCAATGGTGTCATTATAGATCACTGCAACCTCAAACCCCTGGGTTCAAGCGATCCTCCTGCCTCAACTTCCTGAGTAGCTGGGACTACAGGTGTGCGCTATGACACCCAGCTAATTTTTTTATTTTTAGTAGAGACCTTTCTGTTTTTAGTAGAGACAGGGTCTTGCTCTTGCTCAGGCTGGTCTCGAACTCCTGGGCTCAAGCAATCCTCCTGCCTCGGCCTCCCAGAGTGCTAGGATTACAGGTGTGAGCCACCGTGCCCAGCCCAGATACTGTTTCTTATCCAGTTTTTATCTAGTCAGCTGAGCCCCTTTCCCAAGGAAATCCCCCAGCATTTCAGATTCACACTGAGCTATTGTTTTAGATTTAGATTACCAAATTTCTAGCTTTACAAGGATAGGAGGAGGTTTTAATCTCCACAAAACGGATATGATTACAGTTCAGGCACACTGGGATGGTCTTTATTCCGTATCTTGTAAAACTAAAGAAATCTAAAGTGGCCTAATGGTTCTCATGCTAGGGAAAACGGCAAATTCACGTCAAATGAAAAGATAAAGCATAAAGGTAACATATCCAAGCCCCCAATATTATAAACTCCTCTTTTAAAAAAAGCAAAATAGAAGTTTACTTACATCAAAGCTTAAAACATCAGCTCATCACCAAAAGTTGATTGTCAATATAAAATGCTTAAATCAAACTAAACATCATAGATCTTAAAAGCAAACCAACATATTGTCTGACCAAAAGGAAAAAAAAAAAACCTTCAGCCTCAAAGGGGGAGTAGAACCCTTTGGAACAGACTGCTCCTTGTTATGGACATTTTGATCTGCTACAAGTAAAAATAAAACAGGAAGCCAGCAGCTTGGGGAACAAGATTTCCTGTCACCAACAGCAACAGCCCAAGAACCAAGAGAATCAGCTGTTTGCTTATAACTTTGAACCTCCTCTTAATAGTCACTGTGTGGCAGCTGTGCCTATCTTTGGGGTGCAGAGGTGTTTCCTGAATACTTGTCTACTGTCTAAGGAAATGATTTCCATTCCATTCCTCTGCAAAGTTCCCCCTTTGACTCAACAGGTTTTCTAATCCAAACTCTGGACTTTCCAGTTTAACTTTTCCTTAATGTAAAGGGTATCAGGCACTAAGATACAATCTTCAGTAACACAGTGAAAAGAGTTTAGAACAAGAAAGGAGGCAGGAGGTTACAAATAAAAGAATCTTGCAGAGCTCCGTATGCCATCCTTTAGATGCCCTTAGATTCCCAAATTTCAAACTTTCTGGAAGAACCAGATATTTGGGATACAGGCAGGAATGACTGGAAACAGCCACTGTGGCTCCCTCCATTAGCAATCATTTGAGTACTTGTTCCAGCTTTTCAGAGGAGCTAAAAGAGCCAGACTACCTTGAAATTCTGTGTTGAATTTGACCACGGACAGGGCATTCCAGGCTTTCCCTCTATAGATTCCAGATGGCTAGGAAATGTCAGATTGGGGTTGGGGGGCAAATTCTAACACTTTGGTACTTTAGCATTTATGCTTTTCCAAATGCTTTGGGTAAGCAGACACAAATGGAGTTAATTCTATGTCATCTTGGTGGGGTTTACCTGGAACCAAGTTTTCAAAAGCAAGGTGGCTTCCTCTTTCTAAAAAAGTCAGCTCCAGGCCAGGCGCAGTGGCTCACGCCTGTAATCCTAGCACTCTGTGAGGCCAAGGCGGGCAATTGTTTGAGCTCAGGAGTTGGAGACCAGCCTGAGCAAGAGCGAGACCCCGTCTCTACAAAAAATAGAAAGAAATTAGCTGGACAACTAAAAATATATGGAAAAAATTAGCCGGGCATGGTGGCAAGTGCCTGTAGTCCCAACTACTCAGGAGGCTGAGGCAGGAGGATTACTTGAGCCCAGGAGTTTGAGGTTGCTGTGAGCTAGGCTGATGTCACGGCACTCTAGCCCAGCCAACAGAGTGAGACTCTGTTTCAAAAAAAAAAATAAAATAAATAAAAATAAATAAAAAATTTAAAAGGCAGCTCCTATAAATTGCTAAAAAAGTCAGCTCCCATAATAGCTAGAGAGTTTTCAAGAAATAATAATATGTCAATATCCATTAAGGCAAAACAACTAGAAAAGTATACCTGCTATTTTTTAAAAAGCCATTTAATTTGTTTCAAAGCCTCTAAAAAGAGACAAGATTTCCTGTTATATGGACTCACTTGCCACCATTGTTCATCTTTCCTTTAGATAATCAAGAGTTGGTTATCTTCTGCACAAGATGTATGGAATTACGCATGATTCGAACCACAATAGTAACTTGACAAAGAAAAAAAAATCCTACATTCTGGTGAAGATAAACTTAGAAACGGGCAAAAAGACTTCCAAGCTCTTAACCCTCTCAATTTAACTGCAAGGTGTAGAAAATGCATGGGCTTTGGGGTTGAGACATACTTGGGTTAGAACCCCCGACTCTGATACCTTACTAACATGTGATCTTGGGCAATTTTCCTAGAGACAATAAATAATATAACGTATATAAAATGCCCACTACCAGGCTAAAATACAGATAGTTATTTGTAGTTCTACTGATCCTGGGCAAATCTTCCTATAGAATCAATTCTATTCATTGATAAATATTTAAAAACACTTTTAACCATGGACATATTATGCAACAGAATGCAATATTCACGTAAAATTTAAAGATGAAACTCTAAGTTTCAATAAAATTTGGTGGGTTTTTCCTGGAGCTTGCTCTCAGCTATGCTCCTAGACCTCCTGAACAACATACGCTATCTCTCTTCTCCAGTCTCTCATAATTGGGTTCCTCATCTGAACCACAGAATAAAGAAAATGATCAGAGAGACCGTTTTCTCAATTCTCCTGAAGACTGTAAATAACCAGCACCATTTTAGATGCACTGGAGAAAAGTTAATACATTATTTACATTGGATGCCTAATGGCATTTGGGTTTAATTCTTCCATGGAACTCTAGTTGAGAAAGGCTTCTCTATCATCAGGAGCACTTTACTGGAAAACTTGTGGAGCACTGAGTATTCAGGAACCACTGAATTAAGGAAGTACAGGGTCACATTTGCAATTTATACAAATCATTCTAACATAAGCACAGAAGTTTTATTTGGGCAGGAAAAGGCTGGAGGTAAAAAGACCAATTGGGAAACTCTTCCCAGGCTGAGAAGGAGAGAGCAGGGAGAGGTTACCACACCACAGCTGACAGATATGAACTGAGAAACCACAGACAGGCTGTAAGGGTGAGTCTAGGCCTTCAGACCTGCTGCTCTCTCCTTATACTTTTGCACAATTATACTCACAAAGTGATAAAATGTATGTTTCTTTACTTAATAATGTCACGAAAAGAGCTAAATGCTAATGCCAGTGACAGAAATGAAAGAAAGTGAAGAAAACCAATGAAGTAGTGGTTCTGAGGTAGAAAAAGAAATTCTAGGAGGCCAAGGCAGGAGGATCGCTTGAAGCTAGGAGTTCAAGACCAACCTGAGCAACATAGCAAGACCCTGTCTCTACAAAACACACAAAAATTAGCCAGGTAGGGTGGTATGCACCTGTAGTCCTAGCTACCCGGGAGGCTGAGCCAGGAGGACTGCTTGAGCCCAGAAGTTTGAGGTTGCAGTGAGCTATGATGATGCCACTGCACTCTAGCCTAGGCAACAGAGTAAGACTTTGCCTCAAGGAAAAAAAAAATTCTAAATACATGAAAGAGTGGAGTGCTCTGTCTTTATGGATCAGTGAAGGTCTCTTTCAGTCATCCTTTACTTGATCAGGGAAATTATATGCTATAGTGGTAT